ATTGATGGCTCGGAAATTAGAACAAATGATCATATCATATACAATGGTTTCTAGAGAAGCTGTATCTCACCCTTAATGTCAATAATAATTGCTCCGTCTGGTCAACCAAGTTGAATTCTTGACGTTTGGCTGGGTACATCACACGAAATCACCTCATATTTCAAATGTGGCTGAGAATTTAGACCACTCGGTTATAATTTTAATTGCGGGAAATGACCAATTTTAACTTCACTCTAAAACGTCGCATTACTTTTGGCATTGTTTAATTCAAGTTTACAAGTTATTCCCAAAACGAGGACCACAACGCCAAGCTAACGTGTTTAAGGCTTATATCTAATTTCTTATAATTAGTTGACAATTGCACTCACCTTTGCTTTTAAAAATGTAAATGGTAATTATAAAAAAAAATTGTTGAGGCACCCTAGCTTTCCCTATCCTCCGGCCTAGTGCCATCAAGTATATTTTCTCAAGTATAACAAGTGGACTACGGTTATACGTAAATACGCAAAAACCAAACTTTCTTCTCTTTTGTTGTCCTTCCTTTGTTTTATATATGTGGACTAATTACAGTGTGAAGCTAGAAATAAGCATTTATTGTTTTTGGATAACTAGAAAGTAAGAATTGAAAATACAAGAACCAACTTTTAGGTTCCTAATTCTAATTACAAGTACCAAACATATTTTGAAACTAATTTTTTTAGTATATATATAAATATATATGAGACAAGCATAGAATTTACCAAATAAAAATAATTTTTAATTCTCAAATAAATAGATAAATATATAAAGTAATATAGAGAAGTAGAGTTGATCCACATGGACTAAGAAAGTTTAATAATGTTGTCTCTCATATTGAATCAGCTACAAAAAATTAAAAAGGATTTAAAAATAATGAAAATGAATGAATATAATAAATAAATAAATAAATAAATAAATAAATATTGAATAAAAATGATAATGAGAAAATAAATAAAGTAGAATAATTCAATAAAAATAATATAGCCTCAAGTTTTGCTTAACCTCAATTTCGATCAATCATCGAAATGAAATTTTTCCTTTGTGATGTATACATGTTACAATCAACAATACCCAACCCCTTCAACTAACTTTGTTCTGTGGTTAATCAAAATTTCCAAGTCTATCTCCGAAATCCAATCTTTGTTGGTCTAGCAACGTTTATTGCCGTTAGATCCAAAATGACTTTAAATTCTGGAAAAACTCAACTCGAGTTATAGCATCTGTAACATCCCAAAATACGGGATAATGATTAAATTATAAAACTTCAGAGTTTGGTGATCGAAGTAGGATATTTGAATAGTTTAATGATTTGTTCAGAAATATTTCCTAAAAGTTTATAGTAATTATCCAAAGAATTAAAGGGCAAAATGGTCATTTAGCATGAAAGATATTTTCCCCCCAATAATATGAATGAATCACGTGGGGGGTGGGGGAAAGTGTTATTTGAAAACTCTTTCTTCTTCCTTTCTTCTTCTCCCAACCGTGGAAGCTAGGCAAAGGTAAGGGTTTTCTGATTTGTTGATTATTTGTTAAATTAAAGGTTAGGTTTTGATCATTAGATGATAACTAAGCTTAAGGAAAGCTTAAGTTGTCTTATAATCAAAAGATGAAGAAGTTATAAGAGATTTAAGAAAACGAGTTTTTATATGAAATCATAGAAAAGAGTTGATAAGTTGAATTTGAAGTTAAATTTGACTTGTCATCATGCTAATTAAGGAATATGAAGTGTTAGAATTGTATTTAGAACATATTGAAATTTGAGTATGATTCTTGAATTACATATGAAGGATATGATTTTGAAGTTATAGATGATTTTCATGGATATAAGTTGGTTTAAGGAATGGTAGTTGAGTTTAACGACATGATTGGGGTTTAAAATAGAAGAAATAAGTGAAGAATTGATGATTTTCGGAGTTAAAATACAATTTCTGGGTAGAGGGAACCGATACCCTATGAAGGGAATCGATTCCCCCTCTTGGACAAAAATTCCAGTATGTGCAGGGGGAACAGATTCCCCCCTGGGGGGGTATCGATTCCCCCCTAAATGAAAAAAATGGAATTTGATTCATTAAACCGATTTAAGTTATTAACATCAAGTTTAAAGTTTAAGCTTCTGATAGTTGTTTTGAAATGATATATTTATGTAGATATTGAGCCTAAACAAGTTCCGGAATAATCAAAGGATTATAATCGAATCAAAGCAAGGCTAAGGTGAGTGTAATTTTAATTGTACTTATATTATTGAACGAACATTGGCTTGCGATGAGCCAATGATGGAGTTATTATGGTAAGAAGTGACTCTTAAAATGTTATTTGATATGTGATTCTTATATGTACATGAATACATGATATGCATAAATATAAGAGCATGAAACATAAGATATATGATATGATATACATGATTATATGTATATGTGATATATGCTATAAGATATGACCAATGTGAAATGAAATAAGCTATGTGAATATATGAAATGACATATGAATATGCAATATGTGATATGATATGAAATATATGGTTACACGTACATGTGGTATGTGACAGAAGAGAAAGAACAAGTGATGAGAAATATATTCATAATAAATGCCCATAGTATATGATACGAGAGCTATAGGTATAGTTGGCATGCCAAGAGTCGAGGGTATTGTAGTCCTTCGGGACGTAGTCCTTCGGGACGTAGTCCTTCGGGACGTAGTCCTTCGGGACGTAGTGGTCCTACGGGACATATATAGCAGTCCTTCGGGACGAATACTGAACAAATGTTCGGTGCCCCATGAGGGAATTTATACGAGCTGTGGTGACAGCATTAGTGCACAACCTCAATGTACTCACATACCTCTATTCTCAATAATATACATGGGCAACAACAACAGCAATTGAAATATAAATTAAAGTGAAAGTGATGCAAAAAGGTAAGTTTCATGTGTGCATGACTTGATTATATATGTCATAGGAAATATATCCATGCATATTGAAATATCATGATCAAATAGTAAGAATGCATATTCATGAATCTACTGTTACATGTTTATTTATTGCCTTACTAAGTCTATGACTTAGCGTTTAAGTGATTTACACGTAGGTACCAAGAAACGTGAAGAGCAAGAATAGAAGTAGAAAACACAGTATTATTACTAGAAGATCAGATCAGAAGTAATCGACAAATTATGTATTTTGTTGTGTATAGAGTGTTGGCATGTAATAAGTCGTTAATTATGAGTACTCTGATCAAGTTTGTATTTTGTGGTCTCTTTTATGTAAATTAAAGTATTTTGTTTTAAACAAGTTTTAAATTCCCTGGGGTTTTTCTTTAAGTGTCAAGGTTGTAGAAAAGTCAATGTGACACCTCAGACTCGTATTCGGGTCGGGTACGAGTTGGGGTGTTACAGCATCTCAACGAGAATCAAACTCGATCTTGATTCCCCTCAACGGACCACCGCAAAGTTTTTTCACAGGAAGCTTAATTACGACCAACTGATCTGACTTCCAAACTTCAAGCAAAACAGTCTTCAAATCAACGTGTACCTTTTGAGTTGAAGATGTAATAACTTTTAAGAGAATCATCGATTGCCACTCCCAATTTCCAGAGAATCAAGAATACGATCTGAATGTACGAAGATCAAGATTCAATTCTCTCTAATGGAATTGAGTTTCACAAAAGCCTTTGCTAAGTAAAAGTTTAGCCAAGCATGGATTAGATCATGCATAGTGTTGTGAAAAGAAAATAATGAAAAAAGAAAGAAAGATAAATAAGAGTTCTAATAAAATAACTAATTCTTAAATAAAATAATAATAGAACAATCGAACTAAAAATCCTAAATTAAAAGATTTATCGCAAAAGATAACTTTTTAAGTTTCTAATTGAATTCTTCTTCATCTTCTTTATGGATAATATTGTCTCATGTAAATTTTAAATTAAATATTCAAGGAAGTTATGTTTGTCTTCTATAAGATGTTGAATGGACCGTCAAAATTCACTAGTTTTTAGGCTAATTAATCCAATAAAGTTTCTGTCCAAAATAAAGTTAAATCAGTAATATCCATACAATAAACTAGAGGTAAATAATAATAAAAATATGTAGTATTAAACTTGAAATACAAAATTAAATAACTGATTGAACTAAAATTAATAAAAGAAATCCTAGGTGCTTAAAGGTCTCCAAGCTTAATTGACAATTTATTTATTTATAATCAATTAGTTTCAGTACAATCATTATTATAATTTACTTGTTACTAATGATTAAGTATGTATTTATAATAAACATGGATCCAAAATTTTATTTTCTGAATTATATGTTGCCTTAGAATTGATTGGATGAGATCTATTTTTTCAATGGTTCCTGAGCGTACTAAATGTTCATATATTTAACTCTATTATTGCCTTCCCTCCAATTAAATACTCCCCACGCATTTTTTACTTAATAGGAATAATAATATAAAGCATTTTCATGTCCCTCAAAATAATATAATAATATGAAGCATTTAATCAATCGATCATTATCCCCGAAAATGACAAAACACAAATATTATTAAAAAGGGAGAAAATGATGTTATTACCCTTCATTGGTGGGAACTTAATTGGTCCAGCAAAGCTGCTTCCGTGGGGAAAGCAGTCTTTTGATTCAGACAATAGTTAGTCACACAACTCAAAGAAGTCAAACCCAATCTTCGTAAAATTGCAGCCATGCAAATTCGAAAAGAGAAAGGGGCACGTGGCAATTTCATGTTGGTGACAGCTAACATGAGTTATGTCAATGCAACATTTCAAATTTTATTTTCTGAATATATTAACACACATGAAATACATACTTCTCTGAGGCTCCCTTGGCCGGCAAAATTAAGTTCCTTCTTTACCTCAGGAGGAGGACACGTTGCCACAGTGATAAACAGTGGGCGGTACCGAATCCCTTTGAGTTAGCTTTGTGTTATTTTACCCCTTCACTTATTGCTATTTATACAAGTACGTTCCCCACACGGACCCATACATCTCTTTGCTGCATTTTCTCTCTAAACGAAAAACCAAATCCATAGTACTGTAATATTATAACCAAAAGGCAAAGCTTTTTGTTGGGAAACTGCAACAATCACCATGGGAAGATCACCTTGCTGTGACAAAAATGGGCTAAAGAAAGGGCCATGGACGCAAGAGGAGGATCAGAAGTTGATTGATTATATTCAAAATCATGGGTATGGGAATTGGAGAACTCTGCCAAAGAATGCCGGTATGTATTTACTACTGTTTTGGTTTATGTTCCTTTTTTTGTAAAATGTAATGGACTCTATGCTAATTGGTTTCAGCATTTTGAATGGTTAATAGGTCTTCAAAGATGCGGAAAGAGTTGTCGTCTTCGATGGACTAATTACTTGAGGCCTGATATCAAGAGAGGCAAATTTTCTTTCGAAGAAGAAGAGACAATCATTCAACTACACAGTATATCGGGCAATAAGTAAGTTTCCCTTTTCCTATTTTGTACTTCTACTTCCACCTTACTTTGTTTTCTTAACAATTAATGTTTTGTTTTGAATATTTATAGGTGGTCTGCCATTGCCGCTCGGTTGCCCGGAAGAACAGACAATGAAATAAAAAACTATTGGAACACTCACATCAGAAAGAGGCTTCTACGGATGGGGATCGATCCGGTCACTCATAGTCCTCGACTGGATCTCCTTGACCTCTCCTCGATTCTAAGCTCGTCTCTTTACCACCAGTCCCCAATGAACATTTCAAGGCTACTCGGAGTCAATTCCTTGGTTAACCCTGAGCTTCTAAAGCTTGCCACTTCTTTCATGTCATCGAAGCTTTGCAGTTCCCAAGTCCAAAATCAACACCAACCATTAATGCAATCGAACCATGATCTGCCAACGCAAGTCCAACAATTCCCAACTTGCACCACTTTTAATACTTGTCCTTGTAGTATTAATCCATTTTCCAATGAAGCACAACTCGTGAATATGGACCCATTCCCATCAAATTTCTCGGACTTAAATGACTTGCAAGGCGATGAGTTGCCTTCAAATTTGAGGGAAGATTACGTGCCGGTACCGCCAAAGTATGACTATTACGGCTCTAATCAATATCAGCAAACCGTCATGGATCCTTCATTATCAGAGACCTCGAATTTCCATTCCAACAACAGCATCCTGAGTTTCGGCTTCGCGTCGGTTTTATCGACGCCTTCATCAAGTCCAACTCCACTGAATTCGAATTCAACTTGCAACAACGGTAGCGGAACTGAAGACGAAAGAGACAGCTACTGCATCAACCTTTTGAAGTTTGAAATCCCAGATTTTTTGGATGTTAATGATTTCATGTAGTTCCAAAATCAAAAACTCAAAATATGAGTTTTCCTTTATGTCCGGCTTTTCTGATTTTTGTTTGGATTCATTGGAGTTGTAGATACTTGGAAAATTTTCTTGTAATAATTAATTTTGTTACATTTTTATTAAGCTTAATGTATGAGGAAGTAAGATCCTATCCTGCCTCTTCAGGATTTTCTTAGGGTGTGTTTATAGATGGAAATTTTTTTTTCGAAAATGTATTTTTTTTTGTGTTTAATAGTTGAAAATATTTTCGTTGTTTGGTAGTTGTAATTGATTTTAGTGAAAATTTCTAATAATTAAAATTAAGAGTGTTCAAACGGTTAATTCGATCACCTATCGAATTTTTTTTAAAATATTAACCGAATCAAATTATATTCATTTTATGTAAATCATTTTCTATAAAATTTATTATAGTGTATCAAACAATTAGTGAAAATGGTTTACACAATATCATCAAATCACCGTAAAAACGTTTTCAAAATTTATTTTTTAGAAAATGTAATTCATTTTATGTAAAACAGTTTTAGGTAATTCATTTTACGTAAAAATAATTTTCATATAATTCATTCTACATAAAACAGTTTTCAAGTAATCTATTTTACGTAAATTATTTTCTAAAAAATCAATTACAGTCTATAAAATATACCTTTATTCACATCTTTTAATACAGAACCGATTATTAGGGTGCATCATGAACAATCGCACAAACCCCATCTTTTATAAAATTCTTAATTTTTTTATTATATTTTTATTTTTATAATTGAATACTTTAATTTTCTTCAACTTTTTTTTATCTTTATAATTGAGTTTCCTTTTTGTAATCATATTTTTTATCTTTATAATTGATGACTTTAATTTTTTTAATCTCATTTTTTTACATTTATAATTGATAACCCTAAGTTTTTTAAACTCACTTTGTACTTTTATAATTGAACTCCAAATTTTTTAATTTCAGTTTCTACCTTTATAATTGAGGCCCCAATTTTTTAATCTCACTTTTTACCTTTATAATTGAAGCTCTTAATTTTTTTAATCTCACTTTTTACTTATATAATTTAGGTCCCTAATGTTTTTCAATCTCACTTTTTACCTTTAAAATTGAGGTCTCTAATTTTTTTAATCTCACTCTTTACCTTTATAATTGAGTTCACTAATTTTTTAAATCATAATTTTTACTTTTATAATTTAAGTACATAATTTAATCATTTTCTACGATTTATTAATGTAATATTAAATTAATTGTTCAAAATAAAAGAATGTATTTTTTATTTATAAGGGCCTGTATTTTAATTTTACTCGGGGTTACGAAAATGTATTAGACAACTCTACTTTAATATAATGGGAAGTTTCCATTGATGATACTTTACGTTCCACGTCATATTTTTATTTTTTTCCTTACTTTTTATTTCTATACCATATTTTTTTAGTGTATGTATATATATATTAATAATTTAGAGCCACTAAAAGAATAATATATGTTTATAATTTTTTTAACTATTGACAACTCACATACCATGTGAATGCAATTGCTCAAACTCAATACATTAAAGAAAAACAATTTTCCCTAAAATTAAATAAAATCACATTAATATCATTTAATCACAAAAATAATAAAGTTATTGACATGGAAATATATGTACTACTAAATGAATTATGAAAAATTGAAAAACATTGAATATCACAAGAGTAAAATAGATATCTAATCAAATCGTGGACAAATGTGTACCTGCCGAAATATATTTTAAATAAAGGACAACTTATTAATCAAATCATAAGCTTTGTTCATATTGTTACGGCATAAAATAAAATACAAACATCTAACATTTTGCTCTTCCCTGATATAGGCAATCTTTGCCTATAACTAGAAAGCTTTTCAAGCAGCACAAAAAAAAAAATACTAACGCAGAGTTGGTATTAATCATTAATACCCTAAAAATAAAAAAAGATAAACAATCATAAGCGAGAAAGATCTTGGATTCAAATATCCAGACAAGAAGTCAAATTCCAGCAGGATTTCCGGCACAAGACTCGTCAATAATCGGACTCGTGGCAATGGCAACTGTCTTTTTCGGGGGAGTGATTATTGATAAAGTAAAATATGCATGGGGGTTAAGATAATGGGCGAGGTTTGACCTGAAAATAGAAAAACAAAAAGGGAAAGGGTCACTTGTCGATCTACTAGCGGCCACCTTAAGCGCGGGTGGAGGATGGGACCACCATTGAGATTGCTTTCATTGAAAAACATGGCGTGCCTCTTGTGCTGTTCTGGTGTTATCATCTCTCTTCACACCCATCATCCCATGCTTCCGTTGTCAAACCCTGAGCTTAATGTTTCCATCACCACAGCATTTGGGTGGACACGTGGACTCAATCATTCATTAACTTTTAGCTTAAATATATATAATTTTTATAATACTTAAATTATTGATGAAAAATTCATAACTATTCTAATTCACGCCTATGCTGATCAGTTGAGCACTTGAGCTGTTGACTACAGTAACAGGGATTTGTAATTTGGTATCCAGAGTTTTGGAGAGATCCCGTATCATTGACAGGTAACACTCAAACTCGCCGATTTTCTATTTTCAATAATCATGTAATAATTACTACTTTTGCTTGTTGCCTGTGGGGTCTAGGGTTTTATGCAATAAATTAATCAATGATTAAAACTCATTAGTAATACTAAAAGGAAAACACCGTTCGGCGATTTCGAATACAAATTCTAAACATGCTGTAGTTAATTTGTGTCGTTTGATTATAAGTTGCGGGTCAAAAATAATTAGTGTTAGTAGTTCGTAGTAATATTTATTAGTAAACGTAGTGAAAAAGATATGTTTTCTTCGAATGGCATGTCGTCCAAGGAACAGAATCCTTGTACGTACGCGGCGCCCACCACCAAGTGTTCTCCGATTATACGTCTCCCGGCTAATAAAGAACGAACTTGATGTCTTTAATTTGGAAAAAGAAAAATTAAGTGTATTTTTAATTTATCTCTCATAAAACTCGTGCATGGCCACGCTTCTTTATTTTGTTCAGTACATGTTATAAGCAGAACAACTTCCCTATCTTCTTCTACTGGTACGGACAGAAACTTAATTCCTCCTTTTACCCTAAAGTTCCCACTGCCCTTGTAATGTAAGCTCTACGTCATCTATACGCAAAATAATTAATTCTCGTTTTTACGGGTCAAGATTGAAATATTGTTGGATTTATTATCTATGGGAATGAGCCGACCAGCGCCTGAGAAAAGGACACCCTCCCATTGTCCATTTCCATTTTCTCGACCGCCCAAAGAAATTTTCTTATTTCAAGCATTTTGAACCACTGACTGACAACTCCCTCTAAAGTGGGTTTCTGTCCTAATTTGCCAGTGTTTTATTATTACTTGCTTTCATGTTTTTGTTGTTTTTTCAAGCAAAATATGAGATCGTTGAAATTATTATCTGTTCGTGGATTTTTTTTAAAAGAAAAGATGGGGTTTTTGACTAACATTTCACGTTATTGGGATTCTATTTTAGAATATAGAATAGATAAAGATAATGATTTTTTAAGAGGATTTTGTCTGCTTCAATTAGAGAAGCATGCATGCATATGTTGTCTGTTTGAATGTTGGTTTTTTAAATAAGAATAAATGAATTCGCTTCCTATGTGTGAACAGCCTTGGCCTCTATGGCTATTAATTGTTGACAAGTAGCCCATAAGCTGTAGAATTGTTATTTGTGCAAGTACTAAATGAAAACTATCTCATTTGTGTAAGTACTAAATGAAAAGTATCTCATTTGTGTAAAACTTTGGATGAATGGTGGATTAATATTTATGATTGTTCAGTACAAAAAAGTAAAGTGGTAAAATTATCAAAACAAATTATTCATTTGAACTGGATAAAGATGAAGATTAAGTTTCTTAAGTCTTGACGTATAAATGGAACCATAAGACTTGTAATTCGTTAGCTTAAACGTCAAATTATTGAAGTATATGAGTTGATCCAAGTTAAACTTTCGGCCGGATGATTAGGACACTTGCTAATAAATTGAACTTAGATGGGTAATATTGAAGTCAAAGGAAAACTTTATTTGTGACGCCCAGAAGACGTTTGTAGCCGCTCATAGTGTCAGCCGAGTTACACTTGGCATTAATTGTTGATCGACTGTCGAGTCTAGCTTGCTGCATGGAATATTATGACTTTGGAGAATGACCTGATTTTTCACAACATCATGAAATGATTAATATTTCACCAGCTAAGCTGGCTAGTTAGGTTTCTATTACTTAGCCGGACAGTTGTTCAACATCTATTCCATGTAATAACAAATAATGTTGTGATATTAGATGTTATTACGTTTAAACTTTTATATAATTTTAAATTATATATATATATATAATGGAAAATTAAATTTGTTAAATGTATAATATTAATAACGGTTTTAAAATATCATTACATAATTTTATTTCGTGTTTATTAATCACAACAACTTTAAATATTATTATATATGGTTGAAACATTTACAATAATATTTAAGTATTGTTTTAAATTTAATTTTATAGGTAATAATTTTACATCGAAAGTACAACAAATAACGAATTCTATGATATATATATATATTCATTCATTCCCAAAAAATTTGATTACCTTTTTTTTTTATAATCAATAGTGTTTATTTCATTACCGAATAATTTATTTCAATTACTATAAAAATTCATAACAAAGATAAATATAATCTCTTTTTTAATTAAATATTATTTTTCCAAAAAATTCTTTGACATTCAAAATTAAATCTAGAATTTGATGGTGAAAACAAAAAAAAATCTAAAAATTAAAAAATAAAATTGAGTTTTTTAATATACATATTTTAGTCATAATTTAACCGCAACCAATATGATATTTTATTTTAAAATGTATTAATCAATTTAATGGTTGTTAAATTATATTAAAATAATTGAATCAGATAGTCGTCAAAAGACCATGTATATTACAAAAGAATTTTTCTTTTATGTCATTTTGTATATATAAC